ACTTTAGAGAATTTCCTAATTAATCATTAACAAATCCTCCAATTGGGTTCACTCCCTAGTTGTTACCCAATTGAGATTGGAAATTAGGATTAATTTACTACCTAAGTGTTAATGAAGTAGTTCCCAATGCCTTAGTATTTTCCCCAATCATTTTTCTTAAGCTATTTTAGTTTGCTTGTTTTAAATTTCAATTATCAAATCATTCTCTCAAACACACAACATATTCTCTTTCATTAATTATTTGTCACTCTAAAATCCCATCTTCCTATGGATCGACCTTGGACTCTACCAAGAAATTATTACTTGTTTGGCACATACACTTGGGTTTACAACTTCCAAAGCGAAGCAGTACGCAAGATAGAACTTACCTACTCTGTTAAAAAGGCTTTATTTTGCACATTCATCTTCCTTTTGACAATGTAGACATCCTTCAAAAACTTTGCATAAGGATGGCACTTGTCATATGGCATCTAGCAATGAAATGTTCACCTTTACCTGCTTGAACACATCAAGAATTTCAATAGTGTTAGGAAGCTTAGCAGATACTCTTAATCTTTGTAGGTAAGGTGCAGGAATAGGACATTTATTCTCATGCAAATCGACAACCTCAGGCAGCTCAAGTTTTTCACTCTCTTTAGAGTCACCTTGTGTCTATTTTCTGTAATTTTAGAGATTTTTGGCAAAATTGCTTTATCAACTTCTTTCCCACTTCTAAGGGTGGTGATTGAATTTGTGCTACTCTAGATTACTTTTAATGGCATCAGATTACGCGATACTATGTTGAACCCTGGGACGAACAATTGGAAGATTATTTCAAACATTCCACAGATTTTTTGGATCATCATTATTTACCACGTCGATGTTTATGTTCGGTCTTTGGTCATGTCTAAAAATTCTATTATGTGTATTATCTCGTGCCCACATGCAAAACTATATCATATGAATGAAAAGTAAAATTTACAAGTAAATTACAAAGAAAAAAGTACATGGACTCATGATAAAAATCACAAGACTTACATGTTGTTGATCTGAATCACTTTTCAAATTTGTATCGCTTGTTTCCCTAGCAATGGTGCCAAAAATGCTTGTCCATTAATATGGTTGTCTGAAATTGCTTCACAAGCGTGGGAAATTCTATTGTGTAATAACTCGAAAAATACCGAGGTCATCTCCACGGGAAAAAAAGGACAAATTCAAATGATAATATGATATAAAAAAAAATTAAAATCTTTTGATTTCAAAGATGGTGATGATTGGTAAAAACTAAAAACAATAAGAAAAATCAGTTAATCTTCAGATTTCATCCTACCAAGAATAGGAATTTTGACTGAATTTATAACTCATCCAAGATCGTAATCAAACTCTATTAGTTGGAATACATTCAATGAAAATTGGAATTTAGAAAATATTTATTTAATAATAAAACTAATTAATGAAAGACATGACTTTGTAGCAATAGGTCTCCTCTTTTGTGATGAAAGAGGTTTTCTCCTAGTTTGGCTCACTCATCTTGATTTGGTTGTAGCAGAAGAATGTATTCATGAAGGTGAGTGTTTCATATCCCGCTGTTGCATCGACCAAAATATCCTTTTTGAGTGATGGAAAATAGTTCTTTGGGCATGCTTTGTTTAGATCTATAAAATTAATGCGCATTCTCCATTTTTCAGTGGTTTTCTTTACCAGCACTACATTGGCTAACCACGTCGGCTAACATACTTCTCTTATTGAACTTGCTTCAACAAGCTTAAGAACCTCTTCTTTAATCAACTTATTTTGTTCTGGAGCAAAACTTTGTCGCATTTGCCGAAAATGGCTTGGATGCAGGATTAACGCTCAATCTGTGCACCACAACCAATGGGTTAGTTCCCATCATATCTGACTACTTTCAAGTTGTGCACCACAACCGCTGGGTTAGTTCCCATCATATCTAACTATTTTCAAGAGAAAACATCCCTATTAGAAACCATGAATCCTAAGAGTAATGGCTTCAAAGTCTCCTAGAGTATTTTCCCAATAAAAGGTAACCTACTCAGACTATTCTCTAATTTGAATTGGCTCGAGGTCTTTGATTGGTCGAGAATGCTCAACCTCATCACTATAGTCTAGAGATTCTATCTACAAAGCTTCTTGTTTCTGCTTCTCTAGCATTGAGGCCACATAGTACTCCCGTGCTACTACTTGGTCACTTCAAACTTCACCCACTCCTATCTTTTGTGGGAAGTGCAGAAAGAGGTGGTATGTTGATGGTACTGCTACTTCATAGAATTTAGGCTCGGCCAACCTAGGATGACATTGTAGGTTGATTGACAATCTAGTTCAAGAAAGTTGGTTATGACAGTTGTTTGGTGTGGGGCTTGTCCGATTGTAACTATGATGACAAACACCAATTTATCCCTACCTATGCTTAACTTGTCAAATACATGGATAAATATAATGTCCACTGAGCTTTCGATGTCTATGAGGACCCTCTATTAAGTGTAATTGACAATAATTAGGGTCATTGCTAGGGGATCATCATGTGCATGCTAATTTTCTCTATGGTTATAGTCAGAAAACATAATTGGCTAGTTTACACAGGACTTCTTTCCTGGGTTTTATTAAGATGACTTCATGCTCAGCCTTAGCTTTGCAAGAATTAGCCCGCCTAACAGAGCTACTCTCTCCACCCCTAGTGAACCCTTCGAAGATTACTCTTACTTACCCAATAGGCTAGTAGTGTGGCACTTCTTCTAGGTTAGGTTGTGCCTCCGCCTTCTCTTGACGTCTACACTCCATATATCTTCTAAGGTGCCCTTTCTGGATAAGATCCTTTATTTGATCTTTAAGGACCAAGCAATCCTCGATATTATGACCATGATCCTTATGGAAAACCTATAGTGCTTGTTCCTAAACCTTTTGTTGGGCTAAGTTCGCATCTTCCCTGCCTATTTAAGGACTCATTCGTCCTAGATCTGGTAGAGTATATGCTCATTTGGTGTTTATTGATGTGTACCTTCAAGCTTGTTCACTTGGAGCTCTTGGATCCAAGCAATCCGTTGCACTTACACATTTAGTCTGATTTTTCTTTGGGTATCTCGCCCTACCACTCTTGCATGGTTGATCTCATCTCTTCTACTCCTGTGCCTATTCTCTTGCCTCATTCTGGCAAGGAGGGTGTCATCAGCATTTATATGGCTTTATGCTCTTGATAATAGCTCGGTCATGCTTTGAGGTGGGTCTTTGGATAGGGAAAAAGGAATTGATAGAGTTGAAGACCTCCTATAAAATTAGTAAGAGCTACATTGTCATCCACATTGTCGATTTGAAGTGACTCTGTGGTGAGCCTATTGACGAAGCTTCTAAGAGTCCCATTTTTGGTTTGTTTTATGTTTTAAAGATAGGTTGGTGGCCTTTTGTGCTTTCGTCCGCTAATGAAATGTGAGATGAAAGACATGTTGAGCTTCATAATGGAGTTGATGGAACTGGGTTTCAGCTTATTGAACAAGTGCCTTGTTGTTCCTTTGAGGGTAGTCGCGAAGGTCTTGGACATGCTCTGATCCTGGATACTGTGGAGCATCATTAGGGACTTATAGGTCTCTAGGTGGTCGAGTCTATAAAGCTTTGAATGGATACCATCTTGAACCTTTATGGGATAGGGTAGTTTGATACGTCAAGAGTGAAGAGCAACTTTGTGTGTCGCACAAGAGCTTCCACGGCTTTAGGAACCCGAGCTTTCACAGTATTCAAGGCATTGCCGAGATTGTCATTGACCTCTTGGAACTTTAATTTCCATCGGTCATTGACTTGTGGCCGAATGACTTCGTTTTGGCTTTGCCCATCATTTTCTCAATTATCATCTCGATGCTTCTGGGCTTGGAATTGATGTTTGTCTGGTGGCAGTTGATTTGTGAGGAGCTGTAGAATTTGTTGGTTCTATTGAACCAGTTCCTCTACTATTTGTTCTAACTTCTTCACTCTTGTTGCTTCTCTTTCTAGTGGCCTGGTTTTCGTTGCTCAACCGAGTACAATCTACCCCCAGGCTTTATCGACCGAGTGTCGCAAGGGTGTCGCTCGTCATTTTGGATTTGGTCCCTAATCAGATCCTTTGATCTTGTGATTGCCATTAGCGCTACAGACTCAAAAATAGATTTTTGAATTGTGAAAAAATCTAGTGTTTTCCACAGACGCCGCCAACTATGGATACCAGAAATGGTTCTTCGTGCCCCCTAACCGTGATCCCCTACTTAACTATCGACGAGAGTAGCTGCAAGAGCAAGTCAAAGGCCGGATGGGCTCCGGGGGTCGACCCTCCTATATTTCAGTCAAATGAGGGCTTGGAAAATCAAAAATAAATGAAGTTATGTTCTCGTTCATTGGTTGATTAGCTTAAGTTATGTTCTCGTAACTAGTCAAAGTAGTTACAAGGCTAGACCATGCGAAGCTCGAGATCTAGTGGGTTGCTAGGGTGGTGAGCTAGACTTGATCCCTATTGTGGAGCTCGCCATTCCGAGTACATGCCCATTTTCCGATTATCAATTCTAATATTCTAATCTTCTACAGAGCAAACACCGAATGTGAAAGTAATCCAATCTTATTTTCTCTGGTCCAACTTCATTTTTTTTGTTAGGTGTTGGACTCAATGGAATTGTTTTTCCAAATCAAGTTTACCTATGAACCAAACATGCCCTTAAAAATGCCATTTTATGTCCAGATATTACTTCTACCAATAAAGATTAATAAAGAACTTAGGTTATTTTTACGAGTTTATATTATATTTGTCCGACTGCTCAAAATTCCACCAACCCAACTACTTATTTGTATTTTTGCACTGTCATAAGAGACTCAAAGAGCGTGTCACACATGAGAAAAAGGCAAATAATAGCATCTCGCACGCACATAGTTAAACCCAATACGCCACCAAACCGGACTTTAATGTTTCAGTAATATTCCCAAGTTCAAACTTCAAAGCCAGCCCATTTGGACTTTAACATTGCCCTCCTCACCCCCGAACCCCCAACTCCCCCCCCCAAAAAAAACAAATATATTTCACCTCACAATATTTTTGTGTGCCTATATATGCCCAGAATTCAGTGCCAAACTCATCCCAAAACTCCTTCAAAGAAGCGTTTTTGCGTAACGAAGACATGGAGGTCTTCTATGTCTCTCTCCTATGCCTCTTTATCCTCCTTGTTTCTCTCTCACTCCACTTCACCTTCTACAAGAAACCCACCTCCGGCAAAACCCTCCCGCCGGGCAAGACCGGATGGCCGGTGATCGGGGAAAGCCTTGAGTTCATGTCCACAGGCTGGAAAGGCCATCCGGAGAAGTTCTTTTTCGACAGGATGGCCAAATATTCCTCACATGTTTTTAAAACTTCCCTTTTCTTGGAGCCAGCAGCGGTGTTCTGTGGTGCCGCCGGCAACAAGTTTTTGTTCTCCAATGAAAACAAGTTGGTGCAGGTGTGGTTTCCAAGCTCAGTGAACAAAGTTTTTCCTTCTTCCACACAAACTTCTTCCAGAGAGGAGGCCACCAAGATGAGAAAAATGCTCCCCAACTTCCTCAAAGCAGAAGCTCTGCAGAGATACATAGGTATGGAGATTTAGATTATTTGTTCAATTGTTTTATAAAAAACGGTATTTATGCGAGAGCAGAGTTAGGGATACATCTATATAAGTTTTTGACATATCAAACTCATTTTTTTTGAAGTTATAGAGATTCTAATTAAAAAAAAAATTATAGAGATTATGGCAACTAGATTACTTAATTAAATGAGTGGTCAATGACTAATAGTTTGATCATATATATAGAGAAATATAATAGTATCTTTTATACAATTTGCTCCATTTGTTATGAAGGGTTATAATTAACCTCTCTTTTTTGTTTATTTTTATTTATGTATGTTATATTTATCCAAGTTTGACCCTTTCATATTTTATGAATTTTGAAGTATCAAATATAATATAGTAAATTTGAATATATTATTTTATTTTTATTGATTAGAAGAAAAAAAAATTATTTTTTTTGATTCTGCCTATGTACTTATGTTAGATTTACGCAAAAAAAGGAGACCAAAGTTAATGTTGGACTTACGTGATAATTAAAATTTGAGCATGAAAATTGTAGAAATGAGATCAAAAGTTATATCAATGTCATGTCGTTTTGGCCAGCTGCACAAATTACTTGGTTATCCTTTTTATACATTTAGTAAAAATTAACATTCTATTTTGTTAGATTTGCAAGCTAGTTTACATTTTTTTTTTTTTGTACATGATTTGGCACTAAAATTATTACAAATTTTACAATTACCCAATAGGTATGATGGACCAGATTGCTCAAAAACACTTCGCTGCCGGTTGGGAAAACAAAGATGAAGTAAATGTTTTCTCTCTGTCCAAGAACTACACCTTCTGGCTTGCCTGTAGGGTGTTTGTGAGCATAGAAGATCCTCACCAAGTCGACAAATTTGCAGACCCTTTTAGCCTTTTGGCCTCCGGAATCCTCACAGTTCCGATAGACTTTCCGGGAACGCCGTTTAACCGGGCGATCAAGGCTTCTAACTTCATCAGAAAGGAGCTTCAGGCCATTATCAAGCAGAGGAGGAGTGATTTGGCTGAGGGAAAAGCATCGCCTACACAAGATATTCTCTCACATATGTTGTTGACCAGTGACGAGAATGGGAAGTTCATGAATGAATTGGATATTGCTGATAAAATTTTGGGTCTTTTGATTGGTGGCCATGACACTGCTAGCTCTGCATGCACTTTTATTGTCAAGTATCTTGCTGAGCTGCCTCAGATCTATGATGGAGTCTACAAGGGTACATTTCCCCCCCCCCCCCTCTCTCTCCATATCATTTAATTACCTTTGCGTCGACACATTTATACATCAATCCATCCATTATCATTACAACTTACTAAGACTAAACTCAAATTTACTAATTTTGCATTGATTTATGTCAATGTCACATGTAATATCAAGAATTATCAAGCCTATTTATGTGCTGTTAGTGTTATAATCTGTTACAATTTTGATTTTTCTTTCTTCTTCATTTTTATAATACATGGAGAGAAATTTATCTATCAAATTCTTTAGTTTTAAGAAGATAATTCATGGTTCATATTCTTAATTAAAATATATAATCAAATCGAATTCATTGATTTATTTTAGTCAATTTTTAAGCTTGCTTGTAAATGATTTTTATATTAAAAGCCCATCAAAAGAGATAGTGCATTAAAAATCATACATAAATGATCGACTCGTTGGAGAGACTAAATTTAGGTGATCGGAAATTGTCGAAGTTGCAGCATAGGAGATTTTTCATTCACAAAAATGATTTATTTGATCTAATGGACAATAATAGATAGTTATGGAGAGACCCTTTCATTATATTGGTTGGTTGTTGGGGTGGCCCTTAATTGGTGAGACAATCAATATGGAATTATTTATTGCCGTTCAATCATCTTTATTTTCTCCATAAGTGCATGCATGAAAAAACAGGTAGAGATTGAAAATATTTAGTGATTTTTTGCCTCCCATTATACCGTCAATGTTTGAAAACAATGAACTTAAGTAATCGGGTTATTTTGTGACTTGACTAGATCTGTGTCAAAATTGGCTGCTTCAACTCAGAATTGATAAATCCCACCAGAGTTGACCGACCGGACTTCTTAAATAAATAATTTTTTTGCCTGTAGATATATTAAATAATTTTATATTAATTTTTTTCTCTTTCTGTTCCTTTTCAGCCACGCAAGTATGATTTTGACTTACCTAACTTTCCAGCATTCGTATCTCAATTAACTACCCTTTGTTTATTTACATAAATAATAGTACCTCGTCATTCTAATTAGGTAAGACCGGGGAATCGAGATCAGTAAGCCAGTTACAGCTGGGTATACTCTAGTTGCAATGGAAAAAATGAGTGTAAATTTAAATTGTTAGTATCGATCTCAAATTTTTATTTTGCATCAAAATATCACCCTTATTTTATAATAACTTCAGTATGATATAAAAAAGTAATTTTTTCGCTACTTTATTGTCACCCTATGTGTTACTAACAGTGCATCCTTTACCATCAAATTAACCAATCCCTTTTTCTCCCCAGAATTAGTACTTGTTTATGCCAATTTTTACATGAACAATATTAGGAGACTTTGAAAGAGAAGTAAACAGACTTGTTTGAAAGATTCCAAAACTTGTTTTCATTGCCCTTCCTGAGCCGCCAATGAATAATAATCCATGTGAAGAATTTGTAATTGAAATTACTTCCTGACTTTTTTGTCAACAGAGCAAGTGGAAATTGCAAAATCAAAAGCTCCAGGTGAATTGTTGAACTGGGATGATATACAAAAGATGAAATATTCATGGAACGTTGCTTGCGAAGTGATGAGACTCGCACCACCTCTGCAAGGAGCTTTCAGAGAAGCCATTACTGATTTCATGTATAACGGTTTTTCGATTCCAAAGGGTTGGAAGGTAACCTTTTTAAAATTTTTTTATTTTTTTGGTTCTTTTTATGCTTTTTTAAAGTAGCATTTTTGTTTATATTTTTTTTTCACTTGTCGGAGCTTATTCCATTCCTCTAACTTTCTTCGCATGTATAATAGTATGCATACATTAAGCATATAAATGTATTATCAATGCATTAAAATAAATCAAGACAATTTTAAGCAAAATATTAATTGAACATACTTTTTTGAGGAAATTACTTTTTTGCTTAAATAGGTATATAACTGTTCAACTTTGCATCAAAAATGTCTTATCCAAGTACTTTGTTGTTGGTTGCTAAGAATATCCACATTTGCTTTTGTAGTTATATTGGAGCGCCAATTCAAGTCATAAAAATCCTGAAATTTTTCCCGAGCCTTACAAATTTGATCCTTCAAGATTTGAGGGCAGTGGACCTGCTCCTTACACATTTGTGCCTTTTGGCGGAGGACCAAGGATGTGCCCTGGAAAAGAGTACGCCCGGCTAGAAATACTTGTTTTCATGCACCATCTTGTGACGAAGTTCAAGTGGGAGAAAGTGATTCCCGATGAGAAGATTGTTGTCAACCCCATGCCCTATCCTGAGAAAGGGCTTCCGGTTCGCCTCCATCCTCACAAAGCTTAATTAGACTCAATAAATCAGTCATCCTTCAATTTTCCCACAAGAAATTTAGTTAAACATAAGTGGAACAATGTTTTTCCTTGTACTATCTGTTTTTCCTTGCACTAGTTATATTCTGAGATTTCTTTTGTTTACTGCACTTTCTCGTTGTTTTAAAAACTTATGTATGGCAGAGAAAAGAATAACAATGTACAATATATTCTTCTCTTTCTACTTTTCCTCTAATGGTCTCTTTTGGTAGGTGCATGGGGCTGTTAAAAATTTCTTATTATTCTATAGTATATTTATAAATTATCTTGTCAATTGCATAATCTAATTTGTGGATCCATCCCAGGCAATAAACTAATGAAATTAAAAAAAGAAATACAAATTGAAAAAGTCACAAATAACTAGTTCAACTAAGGCCATGTGACGACACATTTCACTTTGCTAGTGCCGACAGGCAGGCACATGCCACTAAGGCATTGGGTCACGCTGAGGCAGCCACCAAGGCATTGCTGTCCAGTAGAAGTGCCGACCGACAAGCATTTTGCTTGCCAAGAGACACTCTGCGAAGGCTTCTCCTCCTTACCCACTTTCATTGGACGAGTCATACTCAGCTAAGAATTAACATGGAACCTAGAGTCCTAACAAAACACTACTCCGATTATCAAGGGATTATTAATAAGATCAACAATGTCTCTTGGCACATGCCGTCCTATAACCTTGGACCTGACATCCTAGTAGGATTCTACCTCGAATGTATAAGGGGTTGGTGATGAAGTCTATTCTATCACAATCTAGAGTTTCAGGTCCTTTAGAGTTCAACTTCCTACCACTATAAATAAAGGAGCCACGTACAATTTAAGGCATTCGATCCTAGCCTATTCACTTCATACTCTTCTTCGACTTGCGATCTGACTTAAACATTGGAGTTCCTTGGGCCGCCTCCAACCATTAGTTCACCTAGGTGTTCTCTTATCTTGAAGGTTACTCAAGGCTTCCTCACAACCATTTTCTCTGTAAGAGGTGGTTACTATTTGTGTGAAATTATTTCCGCACAATTGGTGTCATTTTTGGGAAACGACTAAGTTTTTTGGCAACATAGAAGCCTTGAGTCATGTCTGACGAGAGAATCAACAACCCTTTAACTAGCCGCTTGGCATTTACACTACCCCTAATCCTTGAAAATCTCTCAAATTAAGACCTCCAATTGCACGGTAGAACACTTCTTCGAGATGGGCAGAAGTGCCTAGAAAAGCAATACCTTCCCCGTCAAAACCTACCGGCCCTTGGTGAAAGAAGCGAACCAGCTACCGAGGTTGCCTATCAACAAGCAATGAGAAAAGAGGTAGAGCAGCTAGAAGCCCTCAAGCAAGGGCTCATTCTCCAAATGGGCAATAAACTTGCCAGTTAGGTCATACACCTGAAAATGACCACCACAACGATCACTCACATGAGGCTCAATCTACCCATCATAGGAGCAGATCTCCAGTAAGGAGCTATTTGGCCCATGTTCATTGTCAAGAAAGTTACTCACCCAGATGCTCTACTTCTCAACACTTTCCTAGAGACCCTTCACCCAGAAGGTACCCCCTCGTTGCTATGAGAAAGGAGGCAAGCCATATAGGGAACGTCACCCTAAGGAACATAGAGAGAGACATGGAAGTTCAACCCATCACTCTAGACGAGACGAGTGGTGCGATTATGGAAGACAGAAGCGTACCCGCTTTGAGCCAGCCCGCGAAGGTCATAACCATCTTCATCATGACATTGGCCAAGATGATCTCGTATAATCGGCCAAAGAAAGGGCAAGACAGACCTTACTTTAGATGATACTCCTTGTTCAGTCCATACAAGAAGCTGTGGCCCTCCATCCTTCAAGTTATATGATGGCATGTTGAAGCCATTTTGAAGATCATCTTCCACCTTTTGCAGAGCCAAAGCCTTAGAGAAAATTCCCTACCCTAAACAACCCTAGCCAAAAATTCTCTTCTTCGTTTTTTACTTCCTTTCTACTTAGAGAGTTGAACTACTCTCACTTTTTTTCCCTAGTTGGTAATAAGAATGAGGGTGTTTCAACTATTCCTTAGGGAAGGATTCTTTGTGCTTTATTTTGTATTTGCATTGTATTGTAATGAGATGCACTTACCCTTCTTGCTTGTCTATAGCAATTGAGAATGAGTAGTCATTTTATACTTTTTAGTAAAGGGTGAAGACATATGTAATATTGTTTGAGAAATGGAAATGCAGATGTTTTATCTATGTTTTAATGTTAATGCATCCCTTAACTAATGGATGGTTTTCATTTCTATTTGGTATCGTATTATTGTATGTTCATGGTTACCAGTATCAAGATAAACTTAATGCTATGTACCATTTCATCTATACGTTATTATGTACTTCATGTATGATACAATGATACACGTCATTGAATTTCTGTAACAGTCGGGAGATTGGTTAAAGACGAGTTAAGTCTTGCCATAACCAATGTTTTTGATTCAATGCATAAATCGAAACTCCGTCTTTATTGAATCATAGACCTGTCGATCGGTTAGCTATGGTAAAAATTTTGAATGGGGTTTACTAGGGTTAATTGGTTGTTTCAAGATGTATAGACCTTCCAGCTAACTTAACAGTTGCTATGACATGGTTCAATTTATACATCAAACTGCCGGTTAACTTCCCAGTAACATGGGAATTAATTGTTGTAAGATAAAATTTTCATAATTAAACAATAAAATGCATGTTGGAACCCCGTACTAAAGAGTAACCTTTTTTAATTGTTGTAATCAAAGTTTAGTTTAAGTATTTACTTATCAGTTTCAAGCTCACATCATGAGTTGTTGTAATGCACACTACACGCACGACAATTTCACCTTTTTAGCTTTGAGTTCCAATAGATAACTCCCTGAGGATTCAACCTCAGACAACATCGAGTAATATTACAGCTTGACCACTTATACTTGAGTGTACAATTAAGATCAAGTCATTAACCACATTGGGACTATGTTTCTCTGCTGGAATTTTGGTTGTTATCTCCTTGGGTTTTGTGCTAATGCAGGGCCTCACCATTCGGATGGTGAAAGGGTGTCCAAATGTAAGAAGTCTCCCTTCAATTCTGAAAAGATTCAGAGGACACAACATTAGCCTGGTTTTGAACTTGTGGAGGTTTAGGTTGGGATGGGAATTTTTCCTTTTTCATTGTCCTCAAAAACTAGGTCAACTTGGTTAGATGACTCTTAATATCCTCGATGTTTTGTGAAGTTTGAACTTTGAAAACATTGAATGCATGAGTGAACTGTGTATTGAAATTTATTTGAATCTAAATGAATTGATTTATGGTATCTTTCAAACTTCTTTTATGCGGGGGTTAGTAAGGCTGATATGGATGCTGAGTCTGAGGTTGTGGTGGAGGTGGACCTGGTTGCTGACTAATAGGTTGTGTGTTTCTCCAACTGAAATTCAGGTGATTCTCTCACCTTGGGTTGTAAGTTTCAGAATATATATTAGAATAGGGCTTGTTAAAGTTTAAAATAGCATTGGTTTGTTCCATCAAGACTTCCTTAAATGCTGGGATGGTGGGACACTTCCCCATTGGATGTCTTGACAAAGCACAAATTTCGTACAACTAGTCAATAGGAAACACAACAAGAACTTCATTGACATTTTTCATCTCTACAGCATCCAACTTTTGAGAAAAAAACAGCCATTTTGACCCTCAGGTTATCATCCTCTTTTAACATATATTTCCCTCATTAGGATATGAATGGCTTAGTTTCAACAATATTTGGTGAGGCCGAGTCCCACATTTGGGAACTCTCAAAAATAGTATCAAAAAATCAAATGCTTCGTCGTGATTCTTTTCCATGAATTCCCTCTAGGCCATCATTTCTACGAACTAACACAATGTAGAAGGATGGCATCATAAAAGAAACTAACTAGGGTCCTACTATCAAATGCATGATATGGGCAAGCTTGGAGAAGATCTTTAAATCTCTCCCAACGTTGATAAAAGTTTTCTCCCTCTTTCACACAAAAATCATGATTTGACATCTCAATGCATTAGTGCGATGTATAGAGAAACATTTCTTGAAAAATTTAGTTTGTAAAACTTGCCAACTTGGAATGGATTGAGATTTCAAAAAAAATTAGCCACTATTTAGCTTTATCCTTCAAAGAAAAAGGAAAATGTTTCAACCGGGCCATTTCAAAATTATCATGTAATTCACCACATACTTCCTTAAATTCTTTCATTTGCAAATAAGGATTTTCCTACTCAAAATCATCAAACTGTGTTAAAAGTTGTATTGTCCCTCCTTTGATATTAAAATTTGGAGCATTTGCTGAAAAAATAAAATATAAAGGGACACTAGTGCATGTAAGATACAAATATTCTTTCGAAGGTCTAGCATTCTGGACCACCTCTTGTTCTCTTCAATTATTATTAGTCATGCTTAATTCAAAAGAGTCTGAAGATGCTTGAAATGATGACGAAGGTGAAGATGAAGGATTAGACTTATGTACACACCTTACTAATGACTTAACTGACATACACATATAACATAGACTAAGCAACCTCTCTATTCTTTTTCAAACTATCATAACTCCCCGAAAACATCACCAAAAGCTTGACTTGATCTTAATCATACATCCAAGTATAAGTGATCAAGTTGTAATGTTCCTTGGTTAAGTCTGAGGTCAAATCCACTGGGAGTTATCTGTTGGAAATTTAAAACATAAAAGGAAAAATTGTCATGCGAGTAATGTGCATTATAACAGCTTGTGGTATGAGCTTAAAACTAATAAATAAACACTTAAACTAAATTTTGATTACAACAATGGAAAAAGGCTACTCTGTAGCTCGAGGACCCAACATGATCCTATTTTTTGACTATTAAAATGCCACCTTACACAATTAACTCCTTTGTCGATAGAAAGTTAACTGATAAGTTTAATGCGTAGGTTGAACCATATCATAGCAACTGTTAAGTTAGCCGGAAGGTCTATACACCTTACAACAATCAAATAACCCTAGTAAACTCAAAGGTGAACCAATCAAAAGGTTTACTATAGCTATTTGATTGGTAGGTCTATGATTGAAGGAAGACGAAGTTTCAGTTTATGCATTCAATCAAAAACATTGGCTATGGCAAGCCTTAACCCGTCTATAACCAATCTCTAGACTGTTACATAAATCTCAACTACGTGC